TTTTAAAATTCACGCTATATTTCTTTTAATGTTCAATTATTATCTAAAATTTTAACTGAAATTAATTTTTAAATCAATTTTTATTAGTAAATTCTACTAGAATTCAATTATTTAAATACAAAAATAAATAACTTATTGAAAAATTGAATGTTTCTTAAAATTCAATTTCCATAAAGAATCGTTATCAACAAATTTTCAAATAATTGAATTCTGTGATGGAAAATTTTTGAAAATAATTAAATTTCAGAGAAGAATTTTATTACTAGTACTTTTGAACAATATTATATTAAGAATATTATTACTCTTGAAAATAATTGAATTTCTGCAATAATTTGTAACTTTTTCAGAATTAAATTATTTTTGTACTTTAACTAAAATTTTCCTATAAAATCCATTATTTTTTAATAATTTTTGAAAAAATTTTTTGACAATTTTCAAATTTAATTGTTTACAATTCAATTTTACAAAATTTCAATTATTCTTAATTTCTTCAATTAAATATTTAGAAAATAAAAACTTGAAATAATTTCAAAAGAAATTCATTTAAACTTTTACAAAAAAAATTAATTCTACAGAATTGTTAGTTAAAAGTATGAAAATTTAAACTAAAATTCATTTTCAAATTACTCAATTTTTATTAGAAAATTCTACGAGAATTCAATTATTTAAATACAAAAGTAAATTATTTATTGAATAATTGCATGTTTCTTAAAATTGAATTTTTATAAAGAATTTTATCTATAAACATTTTAATTAACTGAATTCTTTTGACGAATTTAATTAAAATTATGAAGAATTTTTTCTAGGAATTCGATTGAAATTGTATTAAAAATAATTTAAATTCTGCAATGAGTTCTATTATGTATGAAAATAATTAAATTCCTAAAAAGAATTTTATTATTTACGAAAATAATTGAATCCCATAGTAAAAATTGTATTATTTATGGAAATAATTCAATGATTGCGAAGAAATTTATAAAAAAATTTGTAAATAATGAAATTCCTGTGAAATTTTTATTATTTTTTGAAAATAATTAAAAGTTTGTGCAGAATTTTATTAAATTTTTTTTTAAATAATTGAATTCTTTTGGAAAATTTTATGAAAATAGTAGATATTGAAAATAATTGAATTGAGGAAAATTTTTGAAAATAATTGAAATTTTGCAAAAATTTTTTTTAATTTTTGCAAATAATTGAATTTTGGAGAAGAATTTAATTATTTATAAAGATAATTAAAATTTTGACGATAATTTAAAAAAAGTTTTGAATGGAATTGAATGTCTGCGAAGAATTTTTTTTTTGAGCCCTGCAAGTGTCAGTCAGACATAAAACTTAGATTTTTTAATAAATTCTGTACTAGTAGTTTAGTTTACTTTTTATCAGAGAAAATATTTTAAAAAATTATTTTTCTAGTAGTAAAAACAAGTGTTCGTCAGACATAAATACTTGAATTTCGAATATTTTCTATGGTAGTTGGACAAGTCAGTCTTAGAAAGAGGCAATTTTTGAAAGTATTCGTCAGGTTAAGTACTAGTTGGGAGTTAAGTCAGCCAGGTTTATTTAGGGAAATTACTCTAAATTTCTCGGGAGTAATTAAACAAAGTTCGCCTGGAATATTTTCACGTGAGGGAAAAGAAAATTCTACTGTCGATTAAGAAAAAAATTTTCCAATTAAAATATTACAAATTTAACTAGAAAAGATATGTTAGAATACTTTGCCAAATTTTTTTTTCGAAGTGTCTACAATTCGGTCAAGTGGATATGTTTCTGATCTACGATCATAGGAAACAAGGGTTCGATCCCCCTCGGCTGGTGGAATTTTTTCAACATTTATTCCAAGTGGTAAAAATTGCATTTTCAAATAGTAAAAAAAATATGTAAAAACTCGTTAATTAAAAATTCTCCTTCTCTATTTACTAATAAAATAAACGATAATTTAATAACCAAAAAGAAAAACAAAATAATCAATTCACAAACAGAATAAGAGAAATGAAATTTCGCAAATTACCATAAAATTACTGTACGTATAAAATTCAATAATCATGATGAGGGCATCGATTTTCATTCCTCGATAAAATGAAATTATTTCGGTTCGTGTATTTCCATAAGCCAAAAACAAACATGAGACTGTGACGAACAAACCGCAGGGGAAATCACCACAGCATTGGATTCGTTAGGCAGCTAGCAGGTTTCTCTTGCCTCGAGGGCGATCGCAATTCTGATGGAGAGTCGTTTTCCATTGGTCGATAATTAGACGCGCGTACGCTATATCCCGTTTCAATTCATCTAACGCTCGAGTCAGATCAAAGCTCATTCATAAAGTTCTGACGTGTACAAAACAATGCGCTCTCGCTGTGTAACAACACTATAACGCCTTAACAACCAACCATCCCCTTCCCTAATATCTATTTCCTACCTATTATCCTCCACCATTGAAACAAGGAATGAAGCAATTCAAACTTATCAAGTACAGTAGTTTCAGTTTCATTAAACCCTACACAACTAATTGGCATAAATCATTTTCAAAATTTCAAATATTATGTTTCCGTTACATTCTCTCTCTGTTTCTAGTAATTGGTAACTTAATAGACTTTACAGTAGGCAAACATTATTTTTTATCATTTTTTTCTTTAATTGTTACTGTTAAAATTTTTTTTGTAAAATTTTTTTTGCCACTGTTACTTTAAAAAATTTGCTTTTTGAAATTTAATGAAAAATTTTCATTTTTTAAAAAACATAATTTTTCTAAAAGTTTTTCTTTAAATTTTATTATTTGAACAACTCGTATAGAAATCGCAACGATATTTCTAACAAAATTTAATTTTGTTTTTCCCTGACTTTCAAAATTATTTTCATCATTTCAATTCAATTTTTATTTTCTACAAGTTTTAAATAAAATTCTTCTTTAAATCAATTTTATTTTTATAAATTTTTAATAAAGTTCTGTTGAGAATTTTCAAATTCATTTGTTTACAATTCAATTTTACGTGAAATTTCTATTTATCGGAAATTCTTCAATTAAAAATATACATTTGAAAATAAAAACTTGAAATAATTTTGAAAAATTTCGATGAAGTTTTTTGAAAAAAATTAGTTTCATAGAATTTTTAATTAAATGTATAAAAAATTAAAATTTTCAAAGATTTTAATTTGAAACTTTTACAAAATTCAATGATTTCTATAAATTTTGCAATTATTAGTAACTTCTTTAAAATTCAATTATTATCTAAAACTGTTACTGAAATTAATTTTCAAATCAGTTTTTATTAGAAAAATTCAACAAGAATTCAATTATTAAAATAAAAACAGATAATTTATTGAATTTTGCAATGAATTTTATTAAAATTCCTAAAAATAATTGAATATTGTCGAAAAAATTTTGCTATTCATTTAAAAAGATAATTGAAATGTTGACGACAATTTTTTATAATTTTTTGAAAGTAATTGAATTTCTGCGAAAAATTTTATTAATTTTGAAAATAATTGAATTCTTGTTATATAATAATTGAATATTGTTATTTATGAAAATAATTTAATTTTATAATGAATTTTATTAAAATTCCTGAATAAAATTTAAGTTTGAGGAAGAATTTTGATATTTATAAAGATAATTAAAAGGCTGATGAGAACTTTTTTAAAATTTTTGAAAATAATTGAATTTCTGGGAAGAATTTTAATATTTGTTAAGATTGCGTTAAAATAAATTATTGTCAGAGATAAAAGAAATTTAATGTTTTTTAGAATTCGTGGTAATTTTATAATTTACGAGTCAAACAAAAAAATCCAGAATATTGTTATAAATGCTAAACATTTAATTTTTTACAGTACTATTAATAAAGTATTGTAATAAAGTACTTCGAATTGTTTCGAAGTATTTATTAAAATTTTAGAAATTAAGCACAAATTTTCTTTTTTTTTTCTAAAAAAATTTGAATTTTATGACAAAAAATTGTAATTAACAAATCAAAATCATGCAAATTTTTTTTCTTATTTAAACAAAAAATATTTAAAAATTGTTAAAAAAATATTATTAATAAATGAAGAATATTTTGCATATTTTTTGTTTCTCAATAATAATAATTATTATTCACAAAATTACAAGTCTCTTTTTGGGAAAAAAATTAATTATACTCTTTCAAAAAATATTCTTTACAACATAGAAATTTTATTTATAAATAGATAAAAAAAATTGCAGAATTTCTCTTTTACTATTTTAGAAAATTCTATTTTTTTTAAAAGGAAATAATTTGCACTATTTCTATTTTCACATTTCAATTTCTTAAACAAAATTACAAAATTTTCTTAGAAATAATAGAAACAGATTTTTATAAAAATTCAATTTAATAATCAATCAATTTTTAATTAGAAAAAAACTGAGAGTTTTATGAGATTTTTATAAAATTTGCACCACTTCTTTTTTTCACTTTAAAATTTTGAAACAAAAGTCCAAATTTTCTTTAGAAATAAAGGAAAAAAATGTTTCTAAATTAAATTTGTTAATCAAAATTTTTAATTTCTAATTGAAACTAAAACTCCCGAGATTTTTAAAAGATTTTTATAAAATAAAGGAAAAAAAATTAACTATCTTACGTAAGATAGAGGTGGGAAGGGGGGGGGGGTAAAAAACCCTAAAAATATACTTTCATAATACTTGAATGTCCCCTTATTCTTATAAAGTTAAATAAAATTCTAAAACTGACTTTTTGCTTTCAATTAAAATAAAATTAAATAAAAATTATTCTCTCAACTTGGTTTAAATTTTCTCAAAGTGTTTGAAAGAATTAATTTTTTCATTCCTTTTTTTCCCCAAGGGGGATTATCTTTAATTTGTTATGTAGTGTATATAGTTTAAAGAAAAGTAAGCAAAAGTTCTCTTTTTCTTTTGTGTTCGTATTTTATATATATATATATATATATATATATTTATAAAGTTTTTTCTTTTACTAAAAATCCCAATGGATTCAATGAGTGATGTAAAGAGGAAAGTTTATGAGACTCACCTGGTTGCCAGGTCACGATGAACAAAGTTTAGGTTCTCCAGGTAACGCATTCCCGACGCGATTTGCGCTGCCATGTAGATGAGACAGTTGAAACTGAAACGTGAACCAATAGGGAAATGTCATCTAATTTCATAAACATATAGCGTTGAAAATATTTAAAACTTTCCTTTCTCACTTTTCATTGCAATTTAAATGAAACTCTATAAACTACTGTTAAAAGTAACAAGTTTACGAGTTTTCTTCGAGCGTGATATCATAAAGTTTCTTTTAAACTTTTCGAAAATTACTATTATTATTATTTTTACTATTAAAATTCTTTATTATTATCGTTTTTTTATTGTAAACAATTTAATTACTGAACTATAATTATTATTATTATTACTATTTTTATTCTTATCGTTATAATCTATCTATTGTTAATTAAAAGAGTCACACAAAAATTAAAATTTAATTGATATTAATTAATTAAGAGAATGAATACAATACTATTCTATTGTTACTGTTTAAAAATGATTTAAAATAAAAAAATCCAAAAACGACTCTAAATGTTAAATTAAAAATTTTTTTGCAGTTTAAAAAAATGAAAAGTAACAAAAATAGTAAAATAAAAATTTACCTTAGTGTCTTGACACCAATTGGCATTGAGTGAGCATCTTCAGCAGTGATGTGGGTTTTTAGAAACTGACAAAGATCACCGTGCTCCAAGTATTCCATTACAACGCAAAAAGGCTCCTCTCGACAGCACGCACCCAATACTCGGCTAATATTACGATCCTCCAGTGCTGCCAAAATTCTCACATCTCTCTGGAAATCTAATCTGAAATAAAAATTTATTTTTCATATTTTTCAAATTTATTTTGAACTTTAATATTTATTGCTTTAATTTTTTATTAAAAAATTAATAAATTATTACATTTTTAGGTTTCGTTGAAATAAATTTTTCGTTTAAATTGAAATATTTTAAAAGAAAAATACAGTAAGAGTGGGGGCATAAGAATATAATAGAGAAACGACTGTGAGTCTAGTCAAAATAAACCGTTTATGACCTGTATTGTATTGCTTCTCTCTCCCTCTCTCATTACCTGACATTGAAACTTTCTGTAATATTACTTTGTTATTGTTCTTCAACTTCTTATTTGAAATTTTCAATTATATTTCAAAATAAATTACAAAATTTATAAATTATAATTATAATAAATAATTATGATAAATTATAAAATAAATTCTGTGTTCAAAAATAAAAATTTTTGAATTTTTTTTGTGTAAAAGAGGAAGACAAATTCAAAGTTAAAATTCCGATTCGGAAAGAACTGAAATAATATCTTTCAACACAATTTGTGTTTTACAATCAATAATTGACTGTTCATAAAATAATTAGAATCAAATAATTAGAATTAAATAATTACAATCAATAATTGACTGTTCATAAAATAATTAGAATTAAATAATTACAATCAAATAATTAAAATCAAATAATTAGAATCAAATAATTAAAAGAAAATAATTAAGAGGAAATAATTAAAAGAAAATAATTAAAATTAAATAAACTGAAAGAAACTGAATATTAAAACAAACAGAAATAATTTTAAAAAAATTTCAACGTTACGAAAAAAATTACAAAATCTACACATATATTTTTAAATAAAACAGAATAAATCTAGAAATATAATGAAGCAGAATCGCATTTCACATGAAAATTGAAATAGCATATATGTATACAGTTTGGTCAATTAGGAGTCTTGTTAAGGTTTCTTGAAGCTTTAGCGCAGCGTCATCAAGTAGTACTTTAACTGCTTACGATAGACGCAGGTAATAGTACTCTCGCGTGATAGCTTAATGTCGATGTTAACAAAACTACTGCCGTATCGATTAACCATAAACCGAGAATCTTGTGTGTACCAGTCGTTCGCCAACGTGGATTTACGTTGCTAGCCAAACAGCTTTATGCAAAATAGACTATATTTACGTCTGCTCAAGTCGATTAAGTCCAAATGCTTCTAATCGCGTTGGCAAAATTGGTCTTAGCAACTTTTTACTTAATTGCCATTCCAACACATACCTATATACACTATACACACGCTATATGCATATAAAGTACAATGTAAGATTATTATTTTTTCCCTCATCACAAAAAAAATAATAATGAAAAAAATATTAACCAATTTTGGTTGCTTTTTAAGTCTGGTAATTTTTCATTTTCACAGTAATCCTTCTTGTGTTTTATTATTTGGGGGGAATTTTTATTCAATAATTTTACTACCTCTTTTCTTTTTCTTACTTTTTATTTATTTATTTTACTCTTATCAAATTTAATTCCAAAGATTTCAATTATTTTATGAATCTTTAACAGTTTTAACCTTTTAACTAATAATTAGTAGCTAATTGTAGCCACTAGTAAAAAATACTATGACAAAATAATACTTAAGTGGAAACCTACTACAGTAAAAAATACTATGGCAAAATAATACTTAAGTAGAAACCTACTATAGTAAAAAATACTATGGTAGAAAACTATCATAGTAGAAAACTACTGTAGTATAAAACTACTATAGTAGAAAACTACCATAGTAGAAAACTACTATAGTAGAAAACTATTTAGTAAAAAATTACTGTAGTAGTAAACTAATATTGCACTTTGGTAAAAAATGAATTTAGTAACAAAGGACTGCATTAGAAAACAACTATAGTAGAAAACTAATATAGTACAAAATTACTGTAATAAAATATAATTTTAGTAAAAAATTAATATTGTAGAAAACTAATAATATAGTAAAAAACTATAATATACTAAAAAATTACTGTAATAAAAAATAACTTTAGTAAAAAAATAATATTGTAGAAAACTACTATAGTAAAACATTACTGTAATAAAAAATAACTTTAGTAAAAAATTAATATTGTAGAAAATTACTATAGTAAAAAATTACTGTAATAAAAAATAACTTTAGTAAAAAATTAATATTGTAGAAAATTACTATAGTAAAAAATTACTGTAATAAAAAATTACTGTAATAAAAAATTACTGTAATAAAAAATAACTTTAGTAAAAATTAATATTTTAGAAAACTACTATAGTAGAAAATGAATGTAGTAAAAAATAACTTAAGTAAAAAATAAATATTGCAGAAAACTATTAAAGAAGAAAAGTACTATGGTGGATGACTGTTATTAATAAAAAACTGATGCAGTAGAAAACTATACTGTATCAGAAAAACACTGTTGTACAAAATTATTTTTGCAGAAAAATAATTGTAAAAATCAACTAAAGTAGAAAACTACGATCTCTCTAAATTTAAATTATTGATTGACTTTTTGCTTTTGAATTAGTAAATTTTATTAAAAAATTAATAGAAATTACTATTTATTAGTCAAATTAATTGAATTTTACTAATTCATAAGCAAAAAGTCAGTCAACAATTTAAATTAGTAATCATTTTTACTAATTCAAATTTGGAGAGATGGTGGAAGACTATTATATAGTAGAAAAATACTATATGGTAAAAAACTACTTTTTTTTAATAAAAAATTTGGTAACAAAAAATTATTGAATGGTAGTAGAAAACATCTAATTTAGTTAAATCGAAATAGTTTTTTTACTATTCCAATCAGCTTGCTAAATTTGAATTAGTAAAGTCAGAATTTTACGAATTGAAGTTTATAGAAAATAAACTTTGTAAACAAAAGTTAAGAGCAAAAATTTGTTAATACACGGAAAAAAAAGTACGTGAATCCTTCCTTGAAAGTGCTTGACTTTTGGATAGAACACAAAGTACAAGGCTGTATCATACTTTTTATTAGAAAATATAGAAAAGTCCTAGAGTTATTTTAGTACTAGTATGGGCAACAGTGTTTTTTAAATTTTAACGAAAAGTCATTTGTTCAGTTTTATAAAGTACGTGAAAGATTAGTTGACTGCGCTTGAAAATTCTGTAGAGCATGCGCAGTGTGCGTTGCGCGTTTCTACCCAAGGTAAATGCCAGCTGATCGTCTGTTTCCGTTTGTGTTAATTTCAGATGTGAATATACTATTATTTTATGAAAAACAAATAGTGTTAATATATATTTGTCTTCAAGAATTGACTTTCAAAAAAATATTTTTTGTTTTGTGTTTCTCACAAAACAGAATGTTATGTAAGTCTCAGTTTTCAGTGAAATAGCATGTCTCAGAAGTCGTGAAAAATTTCACCATGTGGTATATAAGAACAATTCGATACGTACTTTTAAGTGTTAAGTGTGTGTTTATATTTAAGTTATACGCGAATATATGTGTGTGTTATAGGTTAGTTCATAAGTGTTGACGAGCGTCGAAAAGTGATACAATAATTGTTCTTTGTTTGTGTGATTAATTATCCAAATATGTGAATGAATGAGTGAATTTCAGAAAAACGGTGTGAACAAGTGGAAATTATTTTTTTATTTTACAGTTTTTTTGAAAGTCAATGAAATTCTCAAGCAAGGTACTAGAAATTTTCATTGACTGCTTTTGAAACTCTCATGCAAAAGTACTAGACTGTTTTTAGTATTTTGTGTCGTATCCAAAAGTCAAGTACCGAGTCAATGAAAAATTCACGTACTTTTTTTTTCCGTGTAGTGAATTACTGATTCAATTTTAGAAAAATTTGACTATTTTTGCAAATATTTATTTATAAATAATTAGTTACTTTTCTACTAATAATTAGTTATCTTTTTACTAATAGTTAGATATTTTTAACTAAATGTTGAAGAAAAAAGTCGGCTATTAGTTTTTTACTATTAATTAATTTTTTTACTAATAATAATTATTTAAATAATTAATTCTTGTTTTTACTAATAATTAGTTATTGTTTACAAATTACAAAAATCAAAAGTCCACAGCAACATTTTATACTTTAAGTAAATCAGAATTAGTTAAAAATAACCAATTATTAGTAAAATCGTGGCTGCCTTTTTCTTCATGAATTAGTAAAAAATAGCTAATTTTAGTAGAAAATCACTAATTATTAGCAAATAAATAACTATAAATATATAGTCTTTCTTTAATTTAAAAGAAATTTAAAAATTTGAAATTTCAGTTTTTTTAACATAATCTAACATACCTAAAGAAAATTTAACTAATACTTAGTCATAATTTACTAATAATTAGTTAATTTTAACTAATTCAGATTTAGAGAGTAAAATATACATTTAAATAAATAATATGAGCTAAGTAAATCAGATAAATAAAATAATAAATAACCCTATAGAATAAAATAAAAATCAAATTCAATTTCGATTAAAAAAGAGAAAAAAGTGTTGAAAGACCATTTTTTTGGGAAATGGATTAGAAACTTCCGGTCTTTGATGTTACATCGTGAGTGAAAAATCGTATGACAGTAAAATGAGCAAAAGCGGCGCAAGGGCGACAAAATCGCCCTTTAAGGAAATGATATGCGCATCCTTTTTGCCCGCGAGGCATTCGGGTAAAAGCCGGGTAAGATCAAGGGTCGAGAGCCCTCTATGTTATTTTTAATAAAGTGTCGAGTCAAAGAGAGAGAGAGAGAGTTGGGCTTGTTGCACGTGATACCAGCTATGAAGCATAAAACATCCTTATCTTCCGTCAGCACAGCCTCCCTGGCAAAGACGCGCCTCTTTTGCCGTCTATACGTTCATCTACTTTTCTCATTTATAATCCAGCATATAAAACAGACCCTTCTCTCTTTCTCTCTACTTTTATATATAGAAAACACGCCAACGAGACCTTAAGGGGATATTCACAGAAAATAACTTTACATTTGTAAAATTTACAAATAATTTTTGATTAAATCAATTCAGAGGAATGATTTAATACGCGAAAGGTATTATGGAAATTGCAAACTTTGTAGAAAAGAAAAGAAAAGAAAAAGAAATTCCGTTAGTATTGAGTAAAATAAATAAATAAAATGACGCGTGTGCAAAAATTGTAATTCTAAGGAAAAGAAGTTTTGTCATCGCAAAAAGGAATCTTTACTCCAATACCTTTTAGGTCTCTCTTTCTCTCTCTCTCTCTCATCTCTTTTCTCCTTTCGCTTGCGGAGGAAACGATTCACCGTCTGTGAATCGACTCTGTATATCTCCCCCCGGTCATTGTATGCAAATCTATTTCTTTGAATGAATCGACGAGGCCTTTTTTGATGTCTAGGCCAAGATAGGATGTCGAATTATCGTTCTTACTGAATCTTTCTCTGCGTCTGCTTCCGAAAATTCTACTTTAAAGTTAAGGCGTATACTCGACGAAAAAAGGGGGGAAAAGTTCAGAATAAGAAGAGAAAGAAATAATAAGAAAAAAAGAAGAAAAAACGGGACAAAATAATAAAAAAGAAATAGGAAAAAAGAATAATATGAAATAAGAAGAGAAAAGAGGAAAAAAGAATTAAAAAGAGAAATAAGAACAGAAAAAATAAGAAACAAGAAGAGGACGAGCGAAAAAAGAATAAGAGGAAAGAAGAGAAAAGAGGGGAAAAGAATACAAAAATATTAGAAAAATAGGAAGAAACATGAGAAAAATAAAATAAAAAAAGAATAAGAAAAAAGAAGAAAAGAAAAGGGGAAAAAGTAAGAAAAATGAATTTAAAAAATAAAAAGAAAAAAAAGAGTAAAGAAGAAAAAAATAATGAGGAAGAAATAAGAAAAAATTTATAAGAAAGGTATAAGAAAAAGTACACAATAAGACAAAAATAAACAAGAATAGAAGAGGAATAAAAGAATAAGAGAAAAAAATACTAAGAAATAAAAAGAAAAGGTAAAAAAATAATAAGGAAAAAATAAAAAAAGAATAAGAAGGAAGAAGAAAAGAAAAGAGGAGAAAATAATAAGAAAAAATCAGATAAAAAATAAGAAAAAAGAATAGAGAAGGAAAAAGGAGAAAAAGAATACAAAGAAAAAAGGATAAGAAAAAAAGAAGAGAAAAGGAAAAAATAATATCAACAAAATAAGAAAATAATAAAAAGAAAACGAAGAAAAAAGAATGGAAAGGGCAAAAATAATAAGAAAGCAATAAAAAAATAGAATAAAAGAAGAGGGCAAAAAAGAATAATAAAAATTGAAAGAAAATAAAAATAAAAAAAGAGAAAATAGGGAAAAAGAATAAGGAAAAATCAGATAAAAAATAAGAAAAGAGAATAGAGAAGGGAAAAGGAGAAAAAGAATAAGGAAAAAAATACAAAAAAAGGATAAGAAAAAAAGAAGAGAAATAATAACAAAAAAGTAAAAAAAGAATAAGAAAAAAGAAAACCAAGAAAAAAAGAATGGAATGGGGAAAAATAATAAGCAAAAAGAAAAATAGAATAAAAAAAGGTAAAAAATTGTAATAAAAATTAAAAGAATATAAAAAGAAAAAAAAGAGAAAATGGGGAAAAAGAATAAGAAAGAAATAAACGAAAAAATAAGAAGAAAGAATAAGAGAAGAGGGGAGGAAATAACACGAAAAAATCATAGAAAAAAATAACAAGAAAAAAGAAGAGAAAAGGGTAAAAATAAGAATGATAAGAATAAGAAGAAAGAAGCAAAGAAGGGAAAAGAGAATAAGAAGAAAAAACGAATGGAAAAGGCAAAAAAATAATAAGACAAAAAGAATAGTAAAGGAAAGAGAATAAAAAGAAAAAAAGAATAAGAAAAAAATAAGAGAAAAAAACGATAAAAAGAAAAAAAGAATAAGAATAAGAAGAAAAAAAGAATAAAAGAAGGAAAAAAGGAATATTATGGAGACTGTACAGAATTCACAAGGACTTGATGAATAAAGTACATTGCAACCGAAGTTTCTACAAAAGCTTTTCATTGTGTGGTTCAATTTTGTACGATACTTCCTTCAAAGGACTTTACTTACGCTAATGGCAAGATTAGCTTTCTTCTTATGGAAACTTTTCGAAGGGAGTTTTCAAAAGTGACTATTTTATACTCATATAAAAGGCCTAATCAATCATTCATGAAAGTATTTGTCTTTTAATATTATATAATAATATCTATATTCACAATTAATTTTTCTTTGCATCAAAGAACATTTATTTGATTCAACAAAAAATTTATTTCATTCAAAAACAATTTATTTGTTTTAAAGAAATTTTCCTCTTTAAATTAAACAATTACTTCTTTGACCTTGTATCAATAATAATTTTTTTTTTATTTAAATAATAAATTTCTTGGATACAAAGACATTTTTTTAAATAAAAAAAATTCTTTAGATCAAATTTTCTTTGAATATTTCTATTTGAAAGAAAATTTATTTTGAATGAAACAAAACGAGTCTAAGAAACTTATTTTTTTAATTTAACAAAAGTTTTTTTTCTTAGAGTAGTTCTACATAAAAAAGAAAATTTGTTTGAAACAAAGAAATCGTTTTTTTATATAAATTTAAATAATAAATAATAAATAATAGAAATAATAATTACCTAATAATAACAATAATAATACATAATTTAGTAATGAATTTAAATAAATATCATGGTCTGTTAAAAATATAGAAAAAGAATAGAGGAAAATATTTTTTTAAATAACTTTAAATATAAAAATAAAAATTAATTTCTTTGATTTAAAAAAAATTTTTTTTAAAACTAAATAAATATTTTTTTTAGTCAAGAAAAAAGCAAGAAAGTAATTTCTTTAAATCAAAGATATTTTTCTTTGACCCTATAATAATGTAAAAATTATTTTTAATTAAACAATTTTTTTTTTGAACAAAGAACCTTTTTTTGGATTTAAATACCTTTGTTAGTTAACTAATGTTAACCAACATTATTTGAATTGTGTTAACGACACACTTTTGAATTTTTTATTCAAATCTTACCTTCCCAAGATCATATACAATTTCAACATTAACTAACTATGGAAGGATATATTTCTAACAACTTATTTAATAAAATAAATAAATAATAAAAAATTTATTTATTATAATATAAATAAATATGATTATTAGCAAATAATTAATAACATTAAATCATTACTTTTTTAATTAATATAATAAAAATTATTATAGGTATTATATTACATTATATTACAATTGAATTAAATTATTATAAACAATTGTTTTCGTTGTTTTTCTAAATTTTTTTATATCACAGCGATTTAAATAAGCGCGCTTTTTTCCACCAATAGGAGAGTTTCTCTGACGTGAGCGCAATTGCGTCTGCGCCTCCCGCTCATTGAGTACAGAGTGGGGATATAAGTGCGAGACAGAAGAAGCATGTCCTTCTCTGTCACTCTCATCTCCCCACTACAACAATATTTTCACTGTTTCTCTAAAATACTTCAAGATAAAAAACTACTAGTGTAAAACCGATTACTTTTTACAACTATATAGTTTCTTTTGAAATAAATATTCTATAAAAAATTTAAAAATAGTAAAAATTATCCTAAATTATTTTTTCAACAAATTCTAAATACAAAAAGAGAAAAGTGGAAAATAATTTAAAATAATTTTAGTTATCAGAATAGAAAGCATAAAAGGAGAGAGAAAAATAGAGAGAGAGAGAGAGAGAGAGAGAGAAATTTGATTATTTTTGGGTATCAGAATAAAAAGCATAAAAGGAGAGAGAAAAAATAATTTACAAATAAATAAAAAGGGAAAAAGTCACCTATCCTAAATGCAAAGAAAAAACCCGAAAAACTTATTTTCTTATGGAATTCATAGTAGCAATAATACTCAATTCAAAACAAGACTGTGGCGAAATAAATGCAAATCGTAAGTTGTGTACTTACTTTTCTTTCTCGTTTGCTTCCGGCAGTAAAAACTTGACGGCTACAAGTCGCTTGCCAAGGGTTGTTGTGGTACCATACTCTGGAATTCCCTCAGCTTCTGCCACGTATACCTGTATTAGCATAAATGTTTTTCTTAGAAATCGTTTTCCAAGGAACTGTATACGTGTTTGGGGTTTTTTTCCACTCCAATTGGATATAATTGTATATACATATATATAATAAAATATCTATAAATCTCTGAGTCAATTTCACACGAGAAATCGATACAATCTTTCAGGATGAATTTTCCTTCTTTTTTTTAAGGATATATTCAGGACCACAGCTGGGTATGAAGTTCTTGTTTGATTCAATTAATCGAATTTCGATATTATCGGAAAAAGAAACTTTTAGATATTGTTCAAATAAAAGTAACTCCTTCAGCTGTTGGTAGCATTTTGAAGGAAAAAATAAGTACTTTTAAAAAGCAATTTATCGTTTGATGAAGATTATTATTTCGAAAATAATGGTTTTATTAGATTAAATTTTTTAAGTGGCGAAGGAAAAAAAGTTTTGAGATTGAGGAAAAACATTGAGAAATTTGGAATTGAAAATTTTACTACTGGACATTTACCTTAAGATATTCAAGTTTTTACTTTACTTTTATAGGTTTATTGTTGGTAATGAAGAAATCTAGCTGAAAAAATTTTATAGTCACAGTTGAGAAAAAAAATTGCAGAGGCACTTTGCTTAGATGTAAAATAAACGAATTCTGTGTAAAAATTTGAAAAGTAACACAGTTTGAATTATAAAGAGAACAGAAAAACTGTTTATCGGTAAAAAAGAAATCTATTTTAACTTTTGATTACCAAAATTATAATTAAATAGTAAAGGCACCTTGTTTGGATGGCAAATAGACAAATACGGTTCCAAATTTTTAGAAATAACCCTTTTTTAGTAGGAAAAAGAACAGAAAAACTATTTATCGGTAAAAAAGAAATCTTTCTTCACTTTTTATAGACAGAAATATAATTAAATAGTTGAGGCACTTATTTTACATGTCGAATAGACGAATCCTGAGCCAAAATTTAAGAAATAATACTTTTCCATTTCGAAAATGTACTTTTATCGATTTGTCGGTAAATCAGAAATCTATCTTTACTTTCTATAGCTAAAAGTGGAAGGCACTTAGCTTACACGTCAAAAAGATGAATTCTGTGCCAGAATCTAAGAAATACCACTTATAGACTTCGCGAGAAAGAACAGAGAGAAAAGTTCGTCGGTAAATAAGAAATCTAGCTTTAAAACTTGTAGCAGAAATTGAAAATCAATAGTTGAGGCACTTAGCTTAGACGCCTGGCAGACGTATTATGGGAAAATATTTAAAAAAATACAATTTATAAATTTCGAAAAAGAACGGAAAAATCTTTTGTCGATAATTTAGGAATTTCACATTTAATTTTTTAGTCAGATTCATAAGCAATTGAGATACATAGCTTGGACCCAAATCAAACGAATGCTATCAAAATCTTAAAAATAGTGCACTTTAATTTACGACTCAAAATCTGGATAAAATCGAAATGACCAATGTGATAAAAAAGTCGGTCATTTCGTCAGTAATTTAGAATTCAATTTTGAAATTTAATTACCAAAATTCGAATTCGATAACTAATAACTGGGGCACTAAGTTCAGATGCCAAAATAACAGAATTCAGCCAAAATATACGAAGTTCATCTTCTAGTTTACAAGAAAAACCTCAACAAAGTCATTTGGCAATTTTCTCTGACCATTTGTCGGTAAGCTAGAAGTTTAAAACAATATTTTATCCCTGAATTTGAAAACTAATAGCAATGGCACTTAGTCTACACTGCAAACAACCAAATTTAGCCAAAATCTTGAAAATACTTTACCAACTTTTTAAGAAAGAACACAAAAAAGTATGTCGGTAATGCAGGGATTCAACACAATTGTATTAAATATTTCGGGAAATTTTTTTTGAAAATTTAAGCGTTTACAAAAATGTGTGCTCGTTTCTGTGAGCAATTTTTTACCATTCGTCGGTAAACTAGAAACTTAAACGAAATTTTTCCCCCAAAATCGAAAACTAATAGCAGAGGCACTTAGTCTACACTCCAAATAGCAGGATTTTTTCAAAATCTCGAAAATACTTTACCAACTTTTGAAGAAAGAACACAGAAAAATATGTCGGTAATACAGGGATTAAGCACAATTGTATTAAATATTTCGGAAAATTTTTTTTTTGAAAATTTAAGCGTCTAAAAAAATGTGTTGCTTGTTTCTGTGCTCAATTTTTTGACCACTCGTCGGTAAACTAGAAATCTACAACGAATTTTTCTCCCAAAATCGAAAATTAATAGCAGAGGCACTTACTCTACACTGCAAACAACCAAATTTTGCCAAAATTTTGAAAATACGTTAGCAACATTTTAAGAAAGAACACAAAAAGGTATGTCGGTAATGCAGGGATTCAACACAATTGTATGAAATATTTCAGGGAAAAAATTTTTTTGAAAATTTAAGCGTCTAAAAAAATGTGTGCTCGTTTCTGTGGGCACATTTTTTATCATTTGTCGGTAAACTAGAAATCTACAACGAAATTTTTCCCCAAAATCGAAAACTAATAGCAGAGGCACTTAGTCTACACCCCAAATAAAAGAATTTTTCCTAAATCTCGAAAATACTTTACCAACTTTTGAAGAAAGAACATTAAAAAGTATGTCGGTAATGCAGGGATTCAACACAATTGTATTGAATATTTCGGAAAAAATTATTTTCAAATTTTAAATCTGTAACAAATAGAGTACTTCTTCATTTCTTCAACAAATTTTCTTCTACGTTATCAATAACAAGAACAAAAAAAAAAAAAGTATTTCCTGGTGAAAGTGCTCAAAATTAATGATTCTATATCCATATTCAAAAAAACAATAGCTTATAGTATAATATATAGAATAAATGCCTCGCCATTAATATATGTATGATTCGCGAAACGATAAATTGAAAATGGACAGATGCAAATTGGCTATTTTCTTTAAGTGATAAATAATCAAGTTTTGTATTAACAAAATATAGTGATCCATACCGAGCCAAAGGCGCCATCGGCAATTTTCGAGAGCATGCGAAGTCTATGTCGTGGGAAGAGCGGCACGCTTGTCTGTTCCAGGCGTTTCTTCAAGGCGGAAAGTACCTCCTGTTGCGTTGGTGACTGAAACATATAGATACAAAATATATATATAGAGAGAAAGAGAGAGAGAGTGCAAGAATACCTCGTGCAGAGTTTCCACGCGATAATACACGATCAAAGATCACGACAGGGTTCAAGATAAAATATATCGTTATATACAAAACCATGAGGTAAAGAAACCATCAGGATCTATGGGACCTGTGCCGTTGCCCGAATGAATTATGTCCCTCGATTCTGAATCTCGATTGAGTCGTTGCGCGACCATCTTCTTCATTTCAAACCCGAAGGCATTGGGGCGCAATTATTGAAGGCGCGATGCTTGCTATCAAATGATTACGGGTCGTGCCGAATGCTATCGATAATGATGCCCGCACGTTATTATGTTTCTTTTGCATTCTTTTTTTTTTTAATATATGTTTACCATCCATTCGGGTTGAAAATCATAAATTAATTTCGGGCCTCAAGGCGCTAATACCTCTCGGAAGATATTGAGAATATGAATACGTTATTGTTTTAGAATGTGTGTAGGGAAAAACCATTAAAGAAATAATACTTTTTTTCGGTACTGAATTTACAGTTTGTTGTTTCAGGAAATGAAATTTTGAATTAATGTTCTTGGGTTAAGTTTAAAACATTTTTTTAAAAAAATTTATTGCATATTTATGTTTAGATTGAGAGTGAATAATTATTTATAATTATTTCTCTATTTATAAGACTAAATCGATTCATCAAAATTAGTAGAAAATAACTAATTTGAGAGCTGGAGGGGAAAAAGCGTGACTTTCCACACTAGGGAAATTATGGCCTTCTTTAGATACGAGAAAAATAGTAACCCCTCTTATCATAGAGTTAAAAAATCGAAAAAGCAAGTAGAAATCAAATAAATCTCTGTGTGTTTACTCAACACTTGTCACTAATTAATAAACAAATTAGTAATACAATAATTATTAATCTATAGTAATGTACAGCAGTTGACATTACTATCTAAATTATGTAAATTTCATTTATAAAAGTCAAACTTAAAAATATCTAGGGGGTAAAAAATATCCACAATTTTTCTGCTGACTCAGTTAATGTTCCTCAGTAAGTAAAAAATTATAATAAAATTATTAATTTTAATTTATTATTATTCAAAATAATGTACAGCAGAGGACAATAATATCTGAAAAATGTCAATTTCTTTGAAAAATCTAATTTAAAAAAAACCAAGAAAAGTAGGAAAAGTCTACTATTTTTTACTAACTCATTAAATGTTCCTAAGCAAAAAAAAAAAAAAATTATGAACAAAAGTTATTGTCTACAATAATGTACAGCAGTTGACATTACTGTCTCAATAAGGAGAATTTCACTAGAGTTTAATTTCTAAAAAATCAAGGACGATAGAAAACGTCAATATTTTTTCTACAGACTCAAAATATATTCCAGAGTAAGAAAAAACAAACAAAAAATTACATATTGTTTATAATAATGTACAGCACTTGACATTAATGTCTGACTAAAGGGAAATTTATTGAACAGTCAATTTTTAAAAAAATCTGGGACGGTAGAAAATGATCACAATTTTTCCAATATTCAGTAAATCTTCCTGAGTTAGAAAAAAATTATAAATTATAATAATTTTTTATATTAATGTACAGCAGTTGACATTAAACTCTAAATAATGGGGATTTAATAAAATATTTTAATTTAAAAACAATGTAAGGTTGTAAAAAAGTTTTACAATTTTTCTGCTGACTCAATTAATGTTCCTGAATAAATAAAAAATTATAAAGAAAATTATATTATTTAAAATAATGTACATCAGTAGACATTAATATTTGAATAATATTAATTTCACTTTAAAGTCTGATTTAAAAACCCAGGGGAGTAGAAAAAGTCTACTATTTTTTGAACTGACTCAATAATTATTTCTAAGCAAGAAAATAATTATTATCGAAAGTTATTGTTTACAATAATGTATAGAATTTTTTTTATTTATGAAAATAATTGAATTCTCGCGATGAATTTTATTAAAAATTTTAAAAATCCTAATTAAATTCTTTTGAATAATTTCTTTGCATTTTTTTAAAATAATCGAGTTTCTTTAATAATATTCTAATTGAAAATTTTAAAAACAATTGAATTTTATGAAGAAAACTTTTATTAAAATTATATTGAAAAGAATTAAATTTCTGATAAGAATTTTATTATTTAAAAAAATAATTTAATTCTTAAGAAGAATTGTACTATTTATAAAAATAATTGAATTGTTCTGAAGAATTTATTAAAATTTTATGAAATAAATGAATTTTAAGTAAATATTTGAAAATAATTAAATTTTGTTAAAGAATTCTATTAAAATTGTATGAAATAGAATTGAATTTCTTCAAAGAATTTTACTATTTATAAAAATAATTGAAATGATGGAAGAATTTAAAAAAAATTTTAGGAAAAATTGAATTGTTTTGAAGAATTTTATAGAAATATTTGAAACTAATTCATTCTTTCGTGAAATTCAGTTAAAGTTGTTTCGAAAATAATTGAATTTCTTTAAAGAATTTTATTAAAAATAATTATAATATTCAAAATAATTTAATTCATCAGAAGAATTTGATTGTTTTTTGAAAATAATTGAATTCTTTCAATTTTTTTGACGAATATTTTTAAAAATTGCTTTGAAAGTAATTTGATATTTATGTAGAATTTTTTGTAATATTTTGAGAATAATTGAATTATTTTTAGAGAATTTAAAATTATTGTTAAAATTGAATTTTATGGAAATTTTTGAAAATAAGTAAATTCTTTCATGTAATTTTATTTAAATTGGATTAAAAATAGTTTAATTCCTGCAAAGAATTTTAGTACATTTATAAAAATAGTTGAATTTTTTTCGAAGAATTTATTAAAATTTTAGGAAATAATTGAATTTTATTGAAATATTTGAAAATATTTTAATTCTGCCGAGGAATTCAATTAAAATTGTTTTGAAAATAATTGAACTCCTGCAAAGAGTTTTACTATTCATAAAAATAATTTAATTGTTTCGAAGGATTTATTAAAATTTTAAAAAATAATTGAATTCTTTTGAAAAATTTTATAACGAATTAAGAAAAAAATTAAATTCTTTCGTGAAATTTTATTACAATTTTGTTAAAAATAATTGAATTTTTGCAAAAAAATTTATTATTTATAAAAATAATTGAATTATTCCAAAGAATGTTATTATTTATATAAAAATAATTGAATTCTTGCTAAGAATTATAATAAAATTTTGGAAAATATAAACAATAATAATTAATTATGTACTTAATTAAGTGATTTTTTTAAATTTTGATTATGAAATTATTTTAAAATAAAAAAATAATAATGTACAGCAGTTTGAGTTTCATCTAAATAATAGGAACTTCACTTAATACGTAGAAAAGTGTAATTTTGCACACTAGGGAAAAAATCACTCTTTCTACTTTCGAGTAGAAAACTAAATGCATAGATTATACACATATCTTAATTATTTAATTTACAGAATTTAATAATAATAATAACATAAATATCTAATATCATATTGTTAATTTAATTTAATTATTAAATTGACACTACAGTATTTTTTTCTCACTTTTCTCATTTCGTAATTTTTTCCCTTTTGTAATAAACATTTATATATATAGAAAGAATAGTAAAAATAATTGACGTTTCCTTCTTGTTCATCTGGTAATGCACGCTTGAAAAATAGATCTTACGTTTAAAATATATATACACACACACACTACCACTGTATGAACATTTCACGGTAGGATCGCTTTCCATGCTGGGGGATAGAAGTATAGAGGACCCGTGGGAGATATATCTGCCCCGAATGGTCTGCACTCGTTCCGCCATATTGATTTAAATTATTAATTGGAAATTCTCTCCCTCAACGAGGTCCTACATACGAATACACGCATTTCGATGTTACAGCAGGAAGCAGTATAACCGTATACGTATACATATATATATTTGTAAGTATAGCGTTTTGGAATTCTAGTGAAATTCTAGGAGAGGACTTTACCTATGAAACTAGTCTGTTTCCCTCTGAATTGCAACAAAGCAACTTCCTCCAACTTAAGGGCTTATATAGTTTATACCACGAAAATGGAATTACACTTTTGTCACGTTTTGTCTTCTATAAATTATTCTATTATTAAATAAATCTCCAAATATTCCATATAATGATATCAATTGTTTTGTTATTAAGTAAAATTCTGACTTATTAGGAAAAATTTCTGTTAATAATAAAAAGTTTATTCAATTTTATATTTTTGTATTTTAATAGAAAATTATTTATTTTTCATATTTTTTTATAAGGGAACGTCCATAAACTACGTAGACCAATTTTTTGGAAATTTCAAACCCCCCCCCCTCCCCCCACGTGGACGCAATTACATGTATTAGCGCCATTTTTTCCTCTTATGGTAGACAATTGCTTGACCCCCCCTCCCCCTAGACGTGCTACGTAGTTTATGAACGTTCCCTAATTTTATTTTATTTATTATTATTTTTAGAAATAGTAAAATTTTTTGCACGAATTCAAGTATTTTCAATACAATTTTAAAAAAATTTAACGAAAGAATTCAATCATTTTTTAAAATTTTTAATAAAATTTTTCAAATGAATTCAATAATTATTTTCTAAAATTTTATTAAATTTTTTGAAACAATACAATTATTTTTATGAACAGTAAAATTATTCGCAATAATTAAATTGTTTTTATAAATAATTAATTAATATTTTCAATAAATAATTAAGTTGGTTTTTACTAAAAAAACAAAAACAAAATGGAGTTTTAACTTTTTGTCTTGACTGTCGGTCAGATTCGTTTTTAATTATTTTACTAGCAGCATAGAAACTATTTTTTTTCGTTTACGAAAACTGGAGCAAAACTATTATCCCGTGTTTTTTTTCTTTGAAAAACTACATTGTAACAACATTTGAAATTCTCATCAAGAAAAATTGTTGTTGTATAAAAGAGAAAAAAAAGTCTCTAAAGTAATTTGATTTACTGTAAAATTGCTTCAACTAAAATCAGAAAGGAAGCACCACACCACACAATCAACGAGATGTTACATAAAAGACAAGAAGTTGAGCAAATACTCTTTTTCTTCTATTTTATCAATTTTCTTTCTTGGTCAATTTCACTGGGTGAATTTCGTGCTCCAGTTTTCATCCACCTGGTGTGCAAGCTTGAATCCATGAAGGCTTCCTCGAATGGCAGTAAATCTCTCTTTATATATATATATATATATGTATATACATAAAGTATATGTATATATATATACATAAAGTACATATACAGATATATACCTAGAGTAGTGCTTCGAGGTCAATTACATGTAGAGGTTGCCAGAATAATTTCTCTATAATTTCCAACTCCTTTATATATAACGAATGTGTGTCGGGAAATATATTAAAATTTTTCCAGAGATTTAAATAATAATTATCCTCATTACATCGCGTTTAATTGTACTCTAAAATTGTTTGACAAATATTCATGTAGTTACTTGGTTAATTTTTCTTTTCCTTAGTACCTATTCGTAACTTTAAGAGTTCTTGCACACTTGGAAAAGTTTTCATTTAAGTTGATAATTTAACATTACATTTCAATTAAATATTGGATTCAATTTTATATTAATTCAAATGAATTCAATATTCAAGTCAATATTAATTCCAATAAATTCAATATTCAATTCAATTCAATATTCAAGTCATTATAAATTCCAATAAATTCAATATTCAATTTTAATCAACTAAATTTTCAGTCCAATTTGATATTTAATTCAAATAAATTAAATTTTTAATTCAATTTAATATTTAATTCAAATAAATTCTATATTCAATTCTATTTATTTAATTCAATAATTAATTAAAATCAATTTAATATTCAATTCAGTAAAGTAATCAATTTAATTAATTTCAAATAAATTACATATTCAATTTAATTCAATTCCATTCAATATACAATTCAAAAGAACTAAAATTTAAAATAATATTCAATTTAATAATCCATTCCAATTAAATCCAATCCAATTAATTAACTAACTAAAATTTAATCTAATATTCAATTCAATTAATTATTTTATTTAAATCAATTTAATATTCAATTTAATATTTAATTCTAATCAATTTAATTTGTTATAAATTCTAATGAATTTATTATTTAAATAAATTAAATTAAATATTCAGTTAAAGTGAATTCAATTTAATATTCAATTCAATATTTAAATTCTAATCATTTCAATATTCAATTTGATATAAATTATAATGAATTTAATATTAATTAAAGCAAATTAAATATTCAGTTAAAGTGAATTAATTATACAGTTTAATTATCCAATGAATTTAAAATTAAAATGAGTTTATTGTCCAATTTAATATTTAGTTCAAACCACTTTAATATTCAATTCAAATCAACTTAGTATTTAATTCAAATCAATTCAATATTTAATTTAAATCAATTCAATTTAATATTCAATTAAAATCAAATCAATATTTAATTTAATTTTCAATTTGCATCAATTCATTATTCAAATCATTTTAATAATTAATTCAATATTCAATTCAATTTAATTTAATAGATATTCAATTAATTTCAAAATTTAATGGAATTCGGACGGAAATTATTAATTTATATAGGAAAATTTTAGTTCATCTGAAATTGAAAATTTGAACGAATAATGAAATCCAAGTAAAAAAATTATAAAATATATAAATAAATTTTACATAAAATATAAAAAACTATTTCCAAGTATAAGAAAAAATGTCACCAAACATTTTTGGAAAAAAAATTTACCAACTTAAATTAATTGAGTTCTTTTTTTTTATTTATTATTATCAATTCCGATTTCTATATTTTCCTTAAAGAAATTTAATAAAATTGATAAGTAAGGAAATTTTTATAAACAGAAAGGAAATTTATCAAAAAAAAAAAAAAATGTACAGAAAAAAACTGTCTACAAGATAATCTACAGCAACGCAATGAAATTGAACCGAAAATTCGAATGTTAGCCTGTGCCAAGAACGCCACTTTAGAAAATTGTGCACTTCCAATAATTGAAGCACTTTATCGGAAAGCGCATATTATTCAATTATAGAAGTATTTTTAAGTAATTAAAAATAAATTCACATGACATAAAAATTATGTTTCTTTAAATAGAATATTAATAATAAAAATTAAAAGTTGAAATAGATTATTTCAAAATAAGATCAGTAACTTTTCGTTGAGGTTAGGTTGGATCAGACTAAGAAAATTAAAAATTCTTAAACTAATTCTTAGGTTATAAAAACAACTAACTCCGATACATGGAATTCAAGAGAGTCTAAATTAGATAGAAGTTTATCTGCTACGGTAATTATTTTTCAAATTATTTTCACACAGGTGATTTAAAGTTAGTTTTAAGGGTTTCAAGATTTTTACTCGTAAAACGCAGAGCGCAGACGCGGGAGTAGGGGCAATGAGAGTAAGAGAGAAACGTCCGTTTTTCTCTTTCTTTCTCATTGGCCCCACTCCGTTACTTACGTTCCGCTATTTACGGTTTAAAAGTTTCCAAGCCATAATCTCAAATCGGCGGTGTAATTGAACTCTATGATTAAATATTGAGTATTTTAAATACAACAAATAGTTAAATATATTTAACTATTTGTTGTTTTTAAAATACTCAATATTTAATAGTAAAGTAATAATAAAAAAAGAATACTCTCTTACCTTTTTATCCTCCGCCTTGCTGTTTCTGGTGGCTTTCGAAAAAATACTGTCCTGCTCGCTACCAGCGCTTGACAGTGGCCTTCCTCCATTAGAACAATCAGAGTTGAGAAGAGGCACCTTCCCAAGTTCCGGTACCGCATAATCGTAGGATGTGTCAACTGCACCGTTGGCATACACCGCTACAGGGGGTGATAAAGCAAACGGGTTGTATTGATTGCGGTTAAAGGCTTCCATTGTACGCACAATTCCAAAAGCACTGATATTAGTGTTTACAGCTTAAAGGGGATTTCGAAAAAAATTTAAGCGAAAATAAAAAATTATCCAAATTCTATCATGATCGAATAATACTAATAATTATAAATAAGTAGCGGAACGCGGTATTACATTTATTATTATTTTGTAAATTAAAAGATTTTATATTTTCAAGAATAAGTATCAATGTTTGAATGATTACAGATTCAAGATTTAAAGAATTCACTTAAAATAATAAATATTCTTGTTTATTATTGTTATTCAAAAATTTTAATAAAATTTTTCGCAATTCAATTATTTTCAATACAATTTTAATAAAATTTCTCGAAAGAATACAATTATTTTTAAAAATATTAATTAAATTCTATTATTTTCAACAATTTTAATATAAATTCAATTATTTTCGACAATTTTGATAAAATTCTTTTTAAAAAAATCATTATTTTCAAAATTTTTAATAATTCAATTATTTTCATAAATAAGAAAATTCTTCGCAAGATTAAAATATTTTCATAAATTATAAAATATTTTGGAGGAATTCAATTATTTTCAATACAATTTTAATAAAATTTATCGAAAGAATGCAATTATTTTTAAAAATATTATTTAAATTCAATTATTTTCAAGAGTTTTAATAAAAATTCAATTATTTTCAATAATTCTGATAAAATTCTTTGAAAGAAATCAATTATGTTTATAAATTGTAAAATTCTTGTCAAGAATTCAATTATTTTTGTAAATAATAAAAATCTCCCGAGAAATTCAATTATTTTTAATAGAATTTAAATAAAATTTCTCGAAAAAATACAATTATTTTTAGAAATATTAATTAAATTCTATTATCTTCAAAAATTTCAATATAAATTCAATTATTTTCGCCAATTATGATAAAATTCTTTTCAAAAAAATCATTATTTACAAAAATTTTTAATTAAATTCATTCAAAAAATTCAATTATTTTCAAAAATTCAGATAAAATTCTTCGAAACAATTCAATAATTATTATGAATAATAAAATCCTCCTCAAAAATTCAATAATTTTTATAAATAAGAAAATTCTTCGCAACATTAAAATATTTTCATAAATAATAAAATATTTTGGACGAATTCAATTATTTTAAATACAATTTTAATAAAATTTCTCGAAAGAATGCATTTATTTTTAAAAGTATTATTTAAATTCAATTATTTTCAACAATTCTGATAAAATTCTTCATAACAATTCAATTATTTTTATAAATTGTAAAATTCTTGTCAAGAATTCAATTATTTTTGTAAATAATAAAAATCTTCCGAGAAATTCAATTATTTTCAATAGAATTTTAATAAAATTTCTAGGAAAGAATTCAATTATATTCAAGATAATTTTAATAAAATTTCTCTAACAGGTTGAATTATTTTTAAAAATTGTAATAAAATTTTTCTAAACAATTCAAATTAAATTTATTTTAAAAAATTACATTATTTTGACGAAATTTAATAAAATTCTTAAAAAAAAATGTAATTATTTACAAAAACTCTAATAAAATTGTTTAAAAGAATTTAATTTTCTATGAATAATTTTAATATAGTTTAATAGGAAAATTATTAATTATAATTTATTAATGATAAACACGATTATTTTAAAAACTTAAAATAAACGATTATAACAAATGAAATTATAATTATCTTTTTTTTTTTTTTTTTTTATCTTTTAGTTTTTTTTACTAAACAAATTAAAAACATAACCTAAAATTTGTCGCTTCTTGGTACTTTACTTTACTCAGGAGCGCGCCACGTGTAATTTTTAGGTTATGTCAAATAACTAAAAAAAATTGTAGATTTATGTCTATCAAGTATTTTACTAATTTTTTTTACAAATAAATAATTAGTCAAATTTGTCCAAAGAATTAGTAGAAATTGAATAAATATTAAAATTAAGTAAATATTTAAACTAAATAATTATTAAAATTGAATGAATTAAGAAGATATTACCTGTATTAGAATTGATGCCCTTGCTCGGTAGAATCATGTCCTTCATCTCCATCACAACAGTACTGTAACTGTAATAAGGAGCATACTTGAGGGCTTGATATGGTTCCTGATAATCGTCAAGTTTCACGATATCCAAAAGTCGATTTCCAAGATCTCGGGGCAAAGTGGGAAGAGAACCGCCAGCGTACCTGTCAAAATTAACAGGGTTATTGAGAAAACAGATTATAGGCCGTTCACGTTCAAGTCTTGTCGATATTGACTCTCAGTACGTCCGGTCTCTATTGGAACATTATATTGGACCATCCTTAACGAGCAACGTCATTCGAGGGTAAAATAAACCGATCCATCGAGATAACAACCATTTTCTTCCGATAAAATATCTTTCAATAAAAATCTTTTAAAACTTGCCAATTGCATCCACCTCTTGTGTTTTGTCAATTAATTTAATTACTTTATAATTGATAAAATTAATAATCTAATGATTTAATTGCAAAGAACAATGAATCAATGACAGACAATGAGCTTTACAACTAAAGATTCGAAACGTAATTTTAACTTTCAGTTTACCAAACAATATAACATATAATAATTATACTAAAAGATAAAATAAATCAATGAAGAGAAAAAAGAACATTATCCACATTTTTAAAAATTCTTCCTACACATTTAAATAAATTGAAATTTCATAGCAGAATTTAGGACATTTATATCAAAAGGGATATTCTCGATATTAATCTCGTCAAGGGAAAAATGTTTCCTGTGAGAGAGAGAGGAAGTAGGAATTTTAAAAAATTTGAAATAAATTGAAAAAATATAATTACTTTTCGTCGTCCTCGAGTGTGTATGCCATGAGTGCTGCACCCTTTTCAACTGTGGCACATGTTGATCCCAAGTGAGATGGAGCTCTTCCTGTCATTGGACTCGCGAAGCATTTACGTTGTCTGTGTCGTGAAACTATCAGAAAAATGGCAACCGCTAAAAGAAGAATTACAGCAGTTAGGACTCCGATCACGACCGCCATATAAGTTGGATCATCGTGCTTTGCCGTGGAAACAGGAAGTTCACCTTCCGCTACTTTATTCTTTTCAATAAGTACATCGTTCTCCACCGGCGATTCCGTCGATGATAGATCTTCAACGGTAAAATTTCCATGAGCCACATCTGTAACACAAAGAAAAATCATACTTCTGTAAATTTTACTTTTTCTATTTTACCTTTTACCTTTCTCTTTCTGTCTCCCACTTTATTTTAATTATAGAAAGAAAAAATTTTTTAATCTTTCAATAAAAAAACAGAGTTTTCAATACAGGAAGAATAAAGATACAGGTTCGAAATAAGAGAGTACTGTTTTCTTTTATCATGCGTCTTGTTTTTCAGTATGAATGTCAATAACTTACAATTTATGTCCCTTGTAGAGTGATGTTATTCATTACTGCATGTATGTAAATTTAATAGGTGTCTGGTTTTTAACTTTACATTCTTCGTTGTACTTTTATTCATTTAAATGTAGAACGTATAGTGGTACAAGAAAATGAATTTGCAGTAATAGAAATGGATTTTTTTTTCTACTTTTAATGTAAATTTTTCGAATTATGTAACATGGGTAGCTGCTTTTCTTAAGAGATTATCTCCACGGGGATGATGTAGCAATTGCAAAGTTGAAATCGCAACGCAGCATGGATACTTATGTTCGCTTTGGCCTTGGACAAGAAGGATGACCTACAATTTATCCCTGGACATGCACATCTGCTCGAATTTATCAAAAAGGATCTGACTCGCATTCAGCGGTTCTCAAGTTTGAAATATTCAAATTCCTCTTGTGCTAATGATTGTGATAGTAAATCTCACTTGTATCATTAATAAAAATTTGTTTCTTTTCATTCTTTTGTCACTACACTGTTTATAATTCTTTTTATCACTAGCAGCATTGGTAAAATCTGTTAATATACTTTTATCACTACTTTTTGTAATACTTTTATTATTAGGATCATTAATAAAAATTTGTTTCTATTAACACTGTTATCACTACTTTTTGTTTTTTTATTACTCCTAATTTATTACTGGATGCTGCTCCTGAACCATTGTTAGATGCCACTACTAAATATTAATCGGATGATATTCCTAAATTTTTATCGGATTCTACTTCTATTCCTTTCACCAGATGAAAGGAATGCTCCTAAATTTTAATCAGATGCTATTCCAAAATTTTTCTAAAATGCTAGTCCTAACTTTCTATCGGATGCTACTTCTAAACTTTATTCGGATGCTACTTCTAAATTTTCATCGGATGCTGCTTCTAGATTTGTATTGTTTGCTACTCCTAAATATTCGTAATCTGTTACTCCTAAATTTTTATCGCATAATACTCCAAATTTATTATTAGATGCTATTTTTAAATCTTTGTTCGATGATACTCCGAAATTTTTATCGGACGTTACTTCTAAATTTGTATCAGATGCTATACTTCTAAATGTTCTTAGGATGCTGCTTCTAAATTTTTATTGTTTGCTACTCCTAAATTTTTATCGGATGCTACTTCTAAACTTTTTTCGGATGCTACTTCTAAATTTTTTTAGGATGCTGCTTCTTAATTATTATTGCTTGCTACTCCTAAATATTCGTAATCTGTAACTCCTAGATTTTTATCGCCTGCAACTCCTAAATATTAATCACCAGCTACGTCTAAATTTTTATCGCATGATACTTCTAATTTATTATTAGATGATACTTCTAAATTTTTGTTCGATGCTACTCCTAAATTTTTATCGGATGCTACTTCTAAACTTCTATCGGATGCCACTTCTAAATTCTTTTCAGAAGCTTCTCTTAATCCTTCTACAGATGCTAACCATAAATCTATATCGGATGCTGTACTTGAATTTTTTTTTTAGTGCTACTCTTAAAACTTTTGTTGAAGCTATTCCTCTAAACCTTTTGCTGCAGATATTCCTAAATCTTTTGCTAAAGCTACTCTTAACCTTTTTGATGAAGCCATACTTCTAAACCGTTTGCTAAAACTACTTCTAAAATCTAAACCCTTTGCTGATGCTACTCCTGAACCGTTTACTGATCCTAACTCCTAAAACATCCATAGATGCTAATCCAAAAATTTGCCAACATCCAGCTTCTAAATTTTGACCACAAAATAATAACCAAAATTCGCAAAGATCCGACTCCTGAATTCTGGCGACCCACTACCACCAAAACCTTTATCACTACCCCTTCTAAACCTTTCACAAATGCAACAGCAAAAAAAAATAAAAAGTAATCCAAAATCCTTAACACGATATGGAGCATACTTCCAAACTTTCCCTACATCTCCCATTTCCCCACCGCCATAAATTGTCACCAATTTTCAAAATTGGTGAAAATTTCAAGTATAAATGAAAGTTTTCCCCCGAATTCTTTCTTCATAAATTCCTTGGATAAAACTATTTTAATCATAAATCGCGTTTTCTGTATAATTGCATCACAAACTTTCTGCAACTATTCGCGGAGCTTTCTCTTTCTCTCTTTTGGATAATAATTCCCAATTGTTTTCGAGCATCGTCCATATCAAAGAAGACAACTGATGAAAGGAACTTTTCTTTTCTTTTTTGTTTGAAAAGCACAACTGGCAAAAGGAGTGTTTCTCACCTTGTACTTTAGCGTGAAGTGACACGCGTATACGCGCGCGCCTGTTTCACGTCTCGGTAGTAAATGTCAGTACCAATTCAACGTCTTATTTCTTTTCTCTTTTCATTTTTGACTGTTGTTAGCTACTTGAAAGTACAAATATAAGGAGAAAATCGAAAGGCAAAAGAGGATGGACTCCTTCTTTAGTAACCCTCCTCATCTTGATTTTGTATTTCTGTCTGAATTACTCTTTCTCCCTTTCTGTTTCTCTAGGGGGGACGAAAGAAGAAGAAAGATAGAGAGAAGAAGAAGAAAGGAGATGAAGAAAGATAGAGAGAAGAGGAAAGAAGAAGATGAAGAAAGATGAGAAGAAGAAAAAAAAGGTGAAGAAATATAAAGAGAAGAAAGAAGAAGAATGAAGAAAGATAAAGAGAAGAAGAGAGAGTCAGAATGAGAAAAAGAGTTACTAGAGGAGGAGGAAAGGGAAAAAGAGGGAGAAAGAGAGACAGAGAAGGAGAGGGAAGGAATGAGGATAAAGAGAAGGATCAAGTACTGTACCTCGACGTACGTACACGCACGACTTTATACCTAGAGAGACTAGACGGGTATGCGGACCGCTGGATTCCCGACAGGATTATTCCATGGAAACAAAGCTGTCGTCGTGTTTGATATCGGCTTTTACGTGCCAGCTCGAGCCTCTCACCCCGCCTTCTATGAAATCTGATATTAAACATTCTTTGCACGCCGGGTAAACTGAAAAGGGGTTTCTCTCTGGCTGTTACACGGAAGGCGGATGATGACGGCGACAGAGATGGTTGATGGCGTTGGGTCGGTGGTTTTGCAATGTGGGGGTGTCAGGTGTTGCAGCAGTACCAAACTCAACCAGAGGAACCTTTTGCGCCCCTCAACTGTGCGCGCCAATGCGCGCGGAAACTGTATATAACTCTCCAAAGCGAGCTCCAAAGTTTTCATAGTTCTCCTTTTTTTTCCCTTCTCCTCCGCTTCGTCTTTTCCCAACTCTCATCACTATAGAAAATTCACTGAAAATATGAGTCTTCCTTTTTCTTTAGAAAAGAATATCCCCGTGTGTTGGTATGCGCGTCCTTTTTTTTATAGTTAAAAAGCAGACGGTAAACATTCACCAGAGACTGTATGTATAACAGAATGTTTATACTGACAGGAAAAATATTTGTATTATCAGTGGGGAAAAATTAAAGGACCTTGATAATTTTTTAACACTCGAAGATGGGGGAAATTTGCGAAACTTGCCGCAAGATTTCCAGATGACAGTATTCCAAAAGCGTGTTTATCATTTCATGACATGGAAGTATGGGACAAGTGTTTTTTGAGGGATGAAAATTAGAATTTAGGGACTAATAATTTTTCTTGATGGAATAAGAACAAGGACATAAATTACAAGTTGGGGAAAGAATGACAATAAAAAAAAAAGAAAGGTCTCTTTCTGAAAGGAGCGAAACGTCTGAAGTCTGAGGTTCTTTTTTTCTTCTTCATTTCTTTATTTCTAGTTTCTTTCGCGTCACATCATGTTTGAGCTTCGCGGGTGGAATTCAGTCGCGTGGCTACAGCTGACGCCCGACCGTCACGTGTATATTCCTTTATGTAGATAACTTTTGCAGAAAACAGAAATCCCAAAGTTTCACATTATATTTGAGAATGTGTACCGCTTTTTAATATGTTCGTTATGTTTATCTCTGAGTCGCTGGTTAGAAATTTAAAATTCAATTTACAAAATCAGGGTTGCCACAGGTTAGGAAAATCAGGAAATTCAGGGAAAGTAGAATTAGTCAGAAAATTCAGGGATTATTATTAAAACATAATAATAATAATGATTCCCACTTAATTAATTAAAATTGTTAAACAAAAGATTCTGTCAGATAAAGATCTGTCTAGAAATAAAACATCATCCACCGAACGAGTGTTTAGAAAAAGAAATTTTATCTCAAAAATTATCCATACGATTCTTTTCTCTCTCATGAAACGCAGGACTCAAGTTTCATGGAATGAGAGAGCAATTGGAGCATTCGAAATTATCCGCTCCTTGAGTCCCAATTCTAGGGGGGAAGTCCTTAGTTTGGTACAATGGCTCGTGACAGGAAGCGAGTCTGATTAAGCTAGAGAATAGAATGAATGAAATGAGAGAGAGAGAAGGAGAGCCAGAGAGAGCAAAGAAAACTGTCGATTCACAAAACCATGTTCATGGTACATTTCCATTTTGAGAGTTAAATCAAAGAGGTTAAAATTGGCAAACGAGAAGCGCATTCATTTTAACCGAGTCAGAGAGATCAAGGAGTGTATTAGTTGCGTTTGACATTGAGTGTCAGTAGCAGCTGCACGTGTGCAAGCATGCGAATGTTCATGACATCTTCTGCAAAATCGTGTATATAAACACAAGGAGTGAGGATGATGCCGCGACGCGCGACGGAAGTTGTTCGACAAAGTCTCTAATAGTTGTCGAACACCTTTAAACTTTACCGCTTTTCCGCTCGATACATTATTTCAATTATGCTTACAATAAATTTTGATCT